ATGATGGGGTGCAGGGAATGCCAGGGTGTAGGGAATAACGGGATTTAGGGAATAACAGGGTGTAGAGGATGATGGGGTGCCCCAAGTGATGGAGCTGCAGGTGCTGTCGGGTACAGGGAATGCTGGAGTGTAGGGGATGATGGAGTGTAGGAGATGATTGGGGTGCCCCAAGTGATGTGGCTGCAGGTGGTGTCAGGTGCAGGGAATGCTGGCGTGCACCTGGTGCTGGGGTTCAGCTGATGTGGGATTCTGTCCTGGCAGCAAGCTCTTTGGGAAGAAGCTGGACCCCCACGAGGAAGCCATGCAGATCCTGAAGGAGCAGCTCTCAGCAGCCCGGGTGCCATCACCACCGGCTGTGGTAGGGATGTGGCCGCCCCCGTGTCCCCCTGACGAGGCTGGGGTGTCGCTGGCACTGCCCACAGCCCCTCTGTGCCTCGCAGGGGCCCAAGGAGGTGGTGGCTGCGGTGAAGCCGGTGCCAAGTGCCAGGTACCCGCTGCGAGCACCCACAGGACGTCCTGCAGCCCCACAGCCCCCAGGTATTGCTGGGCACATCCCTGGCACTGAGGAGCCATGGTAGAGTGAGGCACTTCACCCTGCCAGTGGCACAGCTGGGATAACTGGGATTTCCTGGTGGGATAATTGCTGTGTCCAGCTCAGCCAGGGGGCTGCTCCCTGTGCCTCAGTTTCCCCAGGTGAGGCAGCTGTTGGTGGTTCTCCCCAGGGATTGCAAGGCTTTCTGTCCCTTTGCAGTCTTTGTGTCTCGGGAGCTCCCGTCCGAGGCGCAGCAGGTCCAGACCCAGCTGCACCGCAGCTGCAGCGAGGACTTCTACACCTACCACAACGTGCCCTGGAAAATACTCATCAGGAAGGAGGTACAGATTGTGGGGACACCTGGGGACAGGTTGGTGCCGAGGATAAGGGGCTTACACAAGCCCTGGTCTCTCTCCTGACAGGTTTTCTACCCCAAGGACAACATCAACCACCCACTGCTGCTCGACCTCATCTTCCGGCAGGTGAGGCACCGAGCTGGCCCTGCAGCCCCCCGGGGTCCCCTGGGAGCTGGGGTATGGGAGATGGGGTCCCCTGGGAGCTGGGGTACACCGCAGTGGGCTGATGGTTTACTCATCCCACTGTGCCCACCCTTCCCACTGTGCCCACCCTGCCTTCCCCTGCTGAGCTGCCGTGGAGGAGCTAGGGCTGTTGCACGCTGGGGCTGTTGCACGCTGGGGCTGGGGGGTTTTTTGCTCCTCCCCACACAATCCCACTGCTCCTCACCCCCTTTCCCAGATCTTCAATGATGTGCTGTCTGACAGCTGCATCCGGATCAGCCACGAGGAGCGGCTCCGCCTGAAATCCCTCTTTGGTAACGCTGTGTGCTGCTCTCCCTGCCTGGGGGCTCACAACCAGCCACTCTTGTGCCTGTCCCCATCTCCTGGGTGTCTATCTCCAAGCCAGAACTGGCTCTGCTTAGCCCTGGATGGTTTTGCCTCCAAAAGCAGCGACTCCCCTGTAATTTTGTGCTCCACAACCACACAAGTTGTGTCAGCTCTCAGCCAGCTGCCGGGGGACACACATCTGTCTCTGCAGCACAGTCCTGCCAGGCTTGGGAAGGGCATGAGCATCCCTGCTTTTGCTGGGAGCTCTGCCCACATCCTCTCCAGGCAGGGGGAGCTCACGGGAGGTGTTTCCCCCTCCCCACAGCGGAGAACAAGCTGGACTCCTTCAGCCCCGTGGCCACCGAGAGCGTCAAGAGGGAGATCATTGCTGCGGCCCGGGATGGCTGCGAGGTGTACTTCTCCCGCCTCTTCCCTGCCACGGTGAGGGCCCAGCTGTGCTCAGCATGGACCCACAGCGTCACTGTGACCCTGGCTGAGGCGCTGTCCTGGCCTCCAGGGCAGCGTGGGGACGGGTGTGCAGATCCTGGCCGTGTCCCACGCTGGCATCAAGCTGCTGCGGGTGGTGAAGGGCACCAACGTGCCCGGGGAGCAGCTGCGGGTGCTGAGAGCCTACAGGTATGGGTGGCCAGGGTGGGCTGGGTGCTGAGGGTGCCACGGATGCCGGGTGTCTCAGCCTCCCCTCGCCCTGCCCCAGCTACCCCGACGTGCTCTTCGTGACCACCCCATCCAGGAACATGCTGGAGTTCAACCTGCGCGGAGACAAGCTCATCCTCTTCTCCCCCAAAGCCCCCCAGGTCAAGGTCATGGTGGACCACTTCATCACAGAGCTCAGGAAGGTGGGGGCTGCCCTGGGGCCAGGGTGGGTTTGTCCTGGGGGTCAGACCCTGCTCATGTGTCTGTGTTTGACAGGTTGGGGTAGGCAGAGGGGAGTATCCTGCAAATGGGACCGTGGCTGGATTTGGGGAATGGTGCTGAGGCTGTGGGTGCTGGGAGTCCCTGTGCTGGGTGGGGTGTGGGTGTCCCTACGTGCATGGGCTGTGCCAGACCCCTTGTGCCCAGGACTCCCAGTATGTGGTGGCCGTGAGGAACTACAGCCCAGAGGACAGGCGCCAGCTCAGCTTCCACAAAGGGGACATCATCCACCTGCAGTCACTGGAGCACCCTGAGAGAGGTGAGGGACCCCCAAAGCCCCCCAGGCCAAAATGCCTTTGATGGGGGACAGACTGCTGGCTAGCCCTGCCCTGGAGGTGGCTGTGTGCTTGCCTTGCATCCTGTGACACCCCGTGGTGTCCCCATGGTGTCCCTGCAGATCAATACTATGGCTGTGTGGTCCGCAAGAAGGTGATGTACCTGGAGGAGCTGAAGACTGGCACCCAGGATTTTGGTGGGTGCCACACTGTCCCTGTGTGTGTCCCTGAGCTGTGTCCCCTCCTGGGTCTGGGGCACGGGGCAGGCTCCTGCCTCTGTCACCCCTCAGCAGGATGGTTTGGGGTCTTTTTGGCACTGACCTGATGCAGGGAGATGCTCCCCTGCAGGTCCCACCCATGTCCCTCAGGTGACAGGTTTTGGTGGCCCCTGTTCTGCACCTTTCCCTTGAGTGATGCCAAACTGCAGTTGCTTCCAGCCAGATCCCTGGAAAGGGCTGGGCATGCAGAGGTGGGAAGGATCAGGCAGAGAATTTTCGGGGTGACCCCTGTGGCTGCCAGCCTGGGACCATCCCCACCGTGTGTCTGGCACAGGGTGGAAGTTTGGGGCCATCCACGGCCGGTCAGGGCTCTTCCCTGC